AAGATTTGTAAACCTGAAGAGTCAGTGCCAGTGCCTCACCAGCCATGAACCTCACTGCACGTCACTGCAGAAGCTTATATATAGACATCTAAGTTTTTTGTGCCCCACCACTTTTGTACAAAAACGCCACTGTGTATATAGTTAGATTCCACCTTCATGATTATGAATCTGTGAGTGAATTGTTTTCTAACATGACCCTTTTACTTATATTAGGTCTTAAAGTTTTTGCATAAATTAGGGCGTGGTCACATTGAGTGACAGCTCTGTCAAGTGACTGCTGCTGTTAGCTTCTTGTCTCTCTGCTAGCTGCTCCATCTCCGTGAAGCTACAGGGACTCTGCCTGCTCAGTTCATCCAGGGAACACAACTTGACCCCGGCCGTGTTTGTTTGTTCTTCATGCTTATATATCGGACTATTGTGACTCGCTCTGCGGTTAAAACAGACGGTGCATGAATGCCGTTTTGCGGTAAGTGAAATTCGAGTACTTTATTTATGTGTTTATGATTTCAATCAGCTACGTAATGAATGTTAAGGCTTGGGTTAGCGTGTAAGCGAGTGGTAGCTACATCGGTGCTAACGATGCTAATCTTAGCCTCCAAGTTAACTTAAAACCATAGACTGTATATATAAAGGTTAAAACGAAATAGACAAGTGTTAAGCGTTAAGTGGGATAATACTGTAGAACAAACGGCTTCTGTTTGAGGTTGATAAAATAAGGTCATCCTTGTAACTTAGAGAGATATTTTATTATGTAGGTAGGAACTGTATGCATCGCTAAGGTTAATTTAAATTTGCTATGCTCAAGTATGTAGACAAGCTAACGTCGAAGTTGTGTATGTGAAATCAACCTCACAATAAGATGTGTGTATATTACAATTATTAATGTCATATTTCAAGATGATTACTTAGATATTACAATATGGTTGGTTGAGCTGGAGTTCATTAATGAGCTTACACGTTAACATCACAGTCATCTGAAGAACGAACCCAAACCTTGTTGTTTTTATTAATTGCATTACCAAATTGGTATCAAATAAACAGTAAGCATTGGTAACACAACTTCCAAAGTTACAGTAAAATAAAAAGAACCCTGACTCGGACAATACACAATCCAACATGTTCAACAGAAGAGAATAAGTTATATTGTTTGTACACATGGTACTTTACATATATATCTGTTTGTTTAAAGTTTCCAGGTGATGCAGACAGGCTGGACCAGAGAGTGAGAGACAGAACTGGACTCCTCACAGCAGTGAACTTCAGCACAGGTACAAATACTCTTTTTTCATACTGTACAAAGAATCAAGAAAGATATTGGTTTAAATAAATGAAGTATTGACTTTAATACACTGATATACATTCCATTAAACAATACTAAATACTAGATCACCTACACATCAGTGAAGTTGAGGGTTTTTTCCATGCAAAGGGTTACATTTAGATGTTAACAAGCAATATGACTGTCAGCTTTCTAATTTAATGTATTGAAGGCAAAGATATTTAACGCATAGTGACAACTGCTATTTATCTCTCAATATTGTCTTTAAAAACGTGGTAAAAGTTATTCTTTCAGTGAGACAACAGAGCACGCTTGTTTTAATAACAGTTAAATATTATTTTGATAATAAAATACATTTCAATGTTGATGAATTTCATACTGTTCATTCATAATCTGATTGTCTTTGTAGCTCACTGTTGAAATAAAATAAAACATTACAATTACAAAATAATTATATCTACAGCCCCTAAACACAAACACACCTCTTTCATAAATAACACACTTGTTCTGCAATAATATGTTTTATGTTTCCTGTAATTTTTGTTAGGAAAGGACATGCCTGAAAGACACGACTCAGCATCTCCTCTTTCTCCGAGGGTCAAGAAAAACATTCAATAGGAAAATTAAAAGCTGATGTTATGAGATGTTAAGACCAGTACAGGACATTCACTAAGAAACTACTTTTATTGTGAAAACACAGTCAGCTGATCGAATGCACCTATTTCCACATCTACACTCCATCAGCTGATTATTTCTATTTGCCTCACTTCATGAGCTTCACAAAATGTACCTTGTACCGCAGAGTTTGCAACGCAAATAAATGGGGCCAATCTTCAGTCGGATGTGAATGTGTAATCTAACATTTTCAGTAAGAATAATGGACAAAAGGAGTGCAAATACAAATTCAATTTATTGAAATGTGAACCAAAAGTTAATCAAACATGTTTTAAATAAAAAGCACATATGGACAGAAAGTGTAAACCTATTAAATGTATAAGTAAACACATTTAGTCAAATAAAGTGACAGACTAGGCCTGATCAGGTGGTATCAGCTATGCATGGGCTCCTCCATCAGGCCTGGTCCTCCTCACAGAGGAAAGACCCTCAGTCCTCTCCAAACCAACAGACAGGACGTCCATCACACGGAGGTTTTTCTCTGAAGTCTCTGCAGCTCTCTGGACACCACGCTGTCTCAATCCATCCACACTGAATATGAGAGGGGAAAAATGAAAATAATAAATGCTTTAGACAATAAGAAATATAAAGTTGACTGTTGAGTTGCTCAGTTTTTTAAGATTGTCAATACTATTACTGTATAACTAATATCTCAGGTTAAGAGGCCCCTTCAAATAAAGATTGGTCTTTAAATACATTTTGTCTTTTGAATTGTTTGTCTAAAGTCAAGGATCTAGAACTGGTACTTATAGTTTTAATGATACAGTCTGGTTATAATGCTGTTTGGAGGAGGCCTCACAGGTAAGAGCACTAACTAGCTATCATCACATGTACCTTAGCTTAACTTAAATGTATTAAACGTATAATTAAGTGATGGCAAAATATAAATAACTAATGTCATGCAAACATATTAATATTTGCTTGATTCCAGTGTTTAATTTAGCACAATTGCATACAAACGTTAAGGGATTTTAAGATTCTGAAGTATTATGCTAAAAACTCAACTTAGATTATTATTTATAGTTTTGCTGAATAGTCTCATGTCCGCTTACCTTAGAAACGTAAAATGCGACGGCAGATGGGGAGCATGTTAGCTTAGCTTGGTAGCTTCAGCTAGCTCTGGAACTTCCAGCCCGGAGGCAGCAGGTCCCGCCTCGGCTCTGCCTCTTTGCCCTTATTTGGAGCAGGCTGGAGCAGGCGGGAGTGGAACTCTGACGCCACTGTCGAGCCGTTAGTGGCCGACTCCGCCTACTAAGGGCTTCTCGGCAACTCTGCAGAATCCTATGGGTGACGTCACGGACCCTACGTCCATTTATATATACAGTCTATGGTTGCAGCCCCTTTTTTAGAGATTTGGGTATGGAGGAAAATAGAGAGGGTTGTGTTTTCTGACACTTGGTGAGTTCCCTGGAACACCGGGGACACATATTCATGTATAAAAGACGTGCATTTTGCATGATAGGTCCCCTTTAAATTAAGAACTCAAATAAAACTCCAAACATCTTTAATTGTGTTACTTTTTCTGTAAAGCTCTATTAGTTTTAAACCTGATTTTTATAAGCTTCTTAGTTTTTGCAACAATCTGTAAATATACACAACTTTATAATAAAATGCACACATTTACCTTTTTCTAGACTAAACACAGGTATATGATCCTAAGTTAAAAAAATATGAGGTTATCATGAGGTTGTTAACATCGCAATTTATCAGTGGATGTTTGCTGGAACTGTTTGTTAACAGCGTGTTTCCTGATGGACACACACAGCGTGACTCCGGTCAGGTAGAGACAGGTCTCCAGTCAGCACCTCTGCAGACTCGCTGTTTGAGGGCTTGATAACCCACTCCCCCTCCACACCGCTCCACACTCGTTGGTTTGGAACAGTACTTAATGTGGCGGACCCTCCACGCGAACTCGCAAACGGAGGGGTAGTATGTAGGGGTAGGGTGTAGGGGGCGGTTTGGGATTGGGCCTCCGTGTCTGGTCCGTGTGTGTGTGGTCCGTGTGTCGTCAAAAACTGTATGGCCTTCCGGCAGAACCTCTAACCAACAAACATAGGTTCCTACCTTTATACCCACAGTGTTAATTGGCTCCTACAGATGGTATCAGCTTCTTCCTCCTGATTTTCTAGCTCATATCGGCCCCTTCTTTCTTCCATCCTGATCTCGATGGGGCATGAGTCCTCCCCTGTCACCACCAACTTGTGTTTGTTTGTGCCCCGTAGATGGAAAAGCCAGTTCCTTAAATAGTAATAGGTTGAGCCGTTTCTTGTTTTCAATGGATGACAAGACAACCTTCTGGGCTGGTAGCTTAGTTGATAGGAGGAGATGATGTTTCCTATTGACCACTGTCTCCCTGACATCTCTGGTGACAGACTTGATACTGTAATCATAGTATCTGTCAAAGGTGAGGTAGATGTCACTCTCTGACAGGTATGAAATCAGCTGTGTTTTAACATTATCAATAAAATCAGCATCAGCTATTAAGGAACAGGTTTCTTTTGAGTATTGGATCCTCACTTTGCTCAGCTGGGAAACGTTTGGAGCTTGCTCTTTTGTTGAAATTGCAGTTACAGCAATAACAATGAATTCCAACAGTGACCCTGAGCCCCAGTGAGAACACCTGAACAAACATCCAGAGGAGCTTCTCCAACTACTGCTGCATGACTCAAAACTGTTGATTTGTGTGCTCAGCAAGTTTGGGGAGTAACGGACTGCATGTTTACGCCTACTGCCTGAATCTGCTTTATTGTTTCACTTTCTTTGTTTCACTTGTTATTTTTTTCAGTAGGTGAACCTATATGTTCATAAAATAGTGTATTGAGCTTAACTGTAATAAAATAAAAAGGATCATTTTATGTTAGCTCAGATTTTATTTCTGCTTTTAACAGGAGTATTTATTTTTAATCTTGTGATTTTATGAACATTTTTAAATGACCACAGTACTTCTCCCCCAGTATGCAGACTCAGCAGGATTCAGATTACCTTCCTGATGGATCGGAGTATTTTTAGAACAAATGCTAATAAGCTTAAAGACGTGGTGACTCACATTTGGCTCTCCACAGGGTTGGCATCAGGCGCCAGGTTCTTTGCCCAGCGCATGCGGGAGTACTCAGTGATGAGGGACTCAGGGCACACCTCGGGGACCCCCATGGACCGGGCGAACTGACTGGCCCCCTCTGCTGTCAGACATGAGTGACTCGTCTGAAATCAATAATCAAAGGTCACATCCTGTGTTTTTTGTGCATGTAAATGGTCTACTATTCCTCTATTCTGGACCTTTGGCAATCTCATTCCTCTGCATGTTTTTAAAGCGAGGCTCAATGAAATGCTCGTTGATACTATGGGTACTTGTAAATGTCTATAACTATGTAAATGATTCCTGTAAATATAATGTATGATGTCCTTTATTGTTTTATGTTTCATGTGGAACCTATATGCTGCAGGTCTCCCTTGAAAAAGAGATCTATGATCTCAATGGGACCAATCTGGTTAAATAAAGGTTTGAAATGAAATGATACTTTTTCACAGGTAACTAGTAATTATAATGAAATACATTTTTAACGTAACCCTCCCAAACCCTGTTACTTCTTCCTACTTTCGATTTACAACTCCCAAGTGTATGCTTTAACCATTCCATATTTAAAGGTACACACCTTGTCCATGACCAGTCTTGCCAGCTGGATGGGGTTGGCGATGTTGCGTACAGCAGACACAGCACCACTACCCAGAGTTAACCCATCCATCACAATGGCATCCATCTCCACCTCTCCTTTGATGTTCAGCACTGACCCACACCCTGAAACACGATTTGAGAAATGTTTGTATAGAGGTATGCCTTTGTGGAATAATAATCCTTAATATCTTTTATGTAAACAATCCTGGCAGTATGTACAGCATGTGATCCACATATTAAACGGCAATTTATCCGTAGGAGTTCCACATACTTTTACAAGTGTAAAGTGGTCGTGGTGCTAGTTAGGGGCAGTTATTACCATATTACCACCCAAAAAATCCCCCAAATTCCTAAATTGATCACATTTTCATCAACAGCAGTTGTTAAAATAAAATAATTCAAGTTATCTTAAATTTAACAAACTGATCAAGAATAAGAATTGCATTTAGGGTCATTTTTTGTGTAAATATGTTCAGATGTGTAAGTATGTATGCATGTGTTCATACAGTGTATTTCTACTTTGCTATTAAGGTTATTAAATACATATAAGACATTTAATGGAACAGTACTACATGTTAATGTACAAAAACAAATATGGGTAAATAGATTTCACATTTAAGGTATAGAACATTTACCAAACCAACTTAACTAAATTAATAAATGCCGGGATAGTGATTTTTACAGATTTGTATTTATATGGTATATATACATTACATTACATTACATGTCACTTGTTAGACACTTTTATCCAAAGCGACTTACATACTCAATACTGTGGGCAATCCCCACAGGAGCAATTTGGGGTGAAGTGTCTCAGGGACACAACAACATGCTGACTGCAGTGGGGTTTGAACCTGTGACCTGATCCGAACACCAACTCACAACCCGCTGCACCACACGCCTCCATATACAGATACAGATGAGGATATGTAGAAAATGCAGTATGTGTAAGAAGGATGCCATTATGCTGCATGTATTTAATAACAGAGTAGATTTGTATCATTACCTGCATTGAAACAGGGGTTATTCTCCAGGATGCTGACAGCCTCCACCACAGCGTACATGCTGCTGCCCCCTCCCCGGAGGATGGTGTACCCTGCTCGGGCGGCAGAGCACACCCCCGCAGTGGACATTTCTGACCGGTCCTTCGGGATATGACCCGCCCCCCCATGTACCACTACTACTGGCAACATGTCATTCATCTGGGCAGGAAAGAGATAAAACAGGATGTTAAATGTTAAAGGAGCTACATGTAACATAAAAGGACAATTTTAATATGATGTGATTAGTGTCCTGCAAAACGGACTCAGTTTCCCTCTACTGTCCACATTTCTGGTTAATCTTTAAGGCAGAATAAAGTCTGACTATCAAGATTTTATTTAGTTGTCATTGTTTAGAGATTACAATTGGATAAGGTATCTTGCTGGTAAACAACAGGCCATTAAAAGAAGGATACATCGGTCAAAAATGTTGCATTATGGCATTTTTCTTTAAATGCATTGTATAAAGCCATTTAAATGTATAACTTGCTTTGATTTAGCCTTTGGCATTTGTCTTACATTTTCTTTTCTTTTTTGTGATGAATACCTGGAAATTCAGAGAAATAATATAGCCTTCATTTATTACAATAGGCCTATGTAGCCTAATGATTAGATTAAATAACTTGTGTTGCTTCACTAAATTGCAGTCTAGTAGATAACAGATATTGGAGCAAATAAAGCCATAAAGGTCTTAAATCTAACCTTTGCTCTCAGTTGAACATCTTTGACAACCTTATACAGTCTATGTTGACAACACACATTTCGCACTAAACTCGATTAAGGCAGAAAAGAAAAACAGAAATTGTGAAAATGCGTCACCTCTGACTCTGCCGTTTGAATGTAAGCTTACTTGTTGTCTCGCGTCGTGTGAAACTAAATTAGTCTCATGTTAAATTCGAGCACGTGTATTAAGCATTTACATACGGCTACATATTTAAATAGGCTAATATTAAATAATGAGAGCTGAGCTGTGTGTATTCCGAATTGACGAGATACATTACAAAAGGCTGAAATTATGTTATAACAAACAAGCATTCACGTGTTTTCAGGGATAGCATGGTTCGGTATGGTAACATCATTAACTGTCACTAACTGTCATTAAATAAAATAGGCCCAGGGCGACTGGTTTAACGCCACTAGTTACTAAATAGTCGCGTTGTTAAAATTCTCCATCAACCACTCACCCTGAGCATTTACGTTGTCTTGCAGTTCACGCGTTGCTAACGTGACGATTAACACTACAGCTGTAAAGATATTAAAAGTATAATTTAAAGGCGACACCAAAGCCTACATGCACAGAATATACAAATGACACCCTGAATACAAGACGGCGAACAAACAAGGCAAGTGATCCTTTCTTACCAAAATATCGCTGAGGAGTGGTTGTCACTGTCACTACCCGATCCGTCCACCTGCCCGATCGGTACTGCGCATGTGCGAGATGGTCCGCCATATTGCACAACTCCGTACGGCAACCCAACTAGGACACTTGACACAGTGGCTTTTGGCAAAGCACACAAAGAAAACTCAAAAAACCGAGAGAGATGAGTTATTGTTATTACAACGTGACTTCACTATTATTTAACAACTATTTTTATTGGGTTCTTTTATTTGGGGTTAAGTACATTGTCAGAATAAGTGAGAAATGGATTTAACTTCTGTTAGACAGCTATCATACTGAATAAATATTTATGCAAAAATGTATGGCATTAATAATGTATATCTAATTACATTAACTGTGAATGTCTTTCATTTTATTTAAAATGAAATAAAATTACAAAAAGTTGATTCAATAACTTTGCTCTTTTCTAAAGCTAAAAAGACTCCAGAGACTGCTTTGGATATTGTGACTATGCAAGGACAAGTACTCCAAGTGGTTAGCTATTATAAATACCGTGGTATCTGGCTTGATGATTGTCTCACTTTTAAACTTCACGTCACTAATCTGCTTAAAAAGCTGAGGGTTAGATTAGGTTTCTTTTTCAGAAACAAGTCCTGTTTCTCTTTTGAAGCCAGGAAAAGGCTAGTCACTGTGACCTTTTTACCTGTGCTAGACTATGGTGATTTGATCTACATGAATGCACCTGCCCATTGCCTGGAAAGGTTAGATGCCGCCTATCACAGTGCTCTGAGATTTGTTACTAACTGTAAAGCACTTACTCATCACTGTACCCTGTATGCCAAGGCAGGTCTGCCTTCACTTACTGTTCGGAGGCTCAGTCATTGGTACATGTTCATCTACAAAGCCATGCTGGGTAAACTACCGACTTATATCTGCTCCTTGATCTCACGGAGAGTGGCAAGTAGCTATTGCCTGAGATCACAGGATGTGTTTTTATTACATGTGCAAAGTGCTAGGACTGTTTTAGGTGCTAAAGCTTTTATGTGCGCTGCTCCTCTAGCTTGGAACACTATGCAAAAAATATTGAAACTCAGCATTTTGATTCCCTTGCATCATTTTAAAGCACGACTGGATGAAATATTATTGGATACCTGTAAATGTAAATAGATGCTAATGTATACCCCTGTAATTATGTTGTGATGTCCTTTTTGTTTTCTGTTTGTTTTTATATGTGTAACTCAATGTACCGCAGGTCTCCCTTGTAAAAGAGATCGTTGATCTCAATGGGATTTTTAACCTGGATAAATAAAGGCTACAAACAAACAAATAATAACAAATCTCTGTTATTAGATCAGTACTTTTCTTATATGACTATTATTGCTAAATTTGAAAGGTCTTTACCAGCTTTGGAATTATATATATATATATAGCACCTTCTGCCATCCCATCTCTACTGACAATCATTAACACTTAGATTTTATGATATCGTAAGCATCGTCAGTGATTGACTTGAACACTGAGAATGTATTTTTTAACTTCAGACATTTTCATATACAAATGTGATCATACACCAACACACTTTTTAGATATATACATTTTTCACACACAACGCACAACCATTTACTAAATTAAACCATATCCCATCATAATACGAGCAAATAAAAAGGCACAACAATAAATATATTATGTGTGTGTGTGTGTGAGTGTTCTAGTTGGGTTGCCGTACGGAGTTGTGCACTATGGCGGACCATCTTGCACATGCGCAGTACCGATCGGGCAGGTGGACGGATCGGGTAGTGACAGTCACTACCCGATCGGTCCTATAGAGTGGCGAAGTCCCTCCCCTTCCGGTTGAGCCCCATGGGACCTTATTTCGGAAAAGTTATGCATTGAAGTCAATGGAGAGAGAAAGATTATCTTTCGATCCCGTTTGAATTGTGCCACGAATTACACATATGATGTTTGTCAATTTAAAAGGTAATTTTGCAAGTCAAAAAAAATAAAATGTGTCGTAAAACTGTGAAGTAACACATTTGTTTGTGTGAAACGCTCAATGAACTACATCTCTGGTCTCACAGAACAACACACGTCACCAAGATGGCCGTCACTACTGTCAACAAAACGATTGGCTACCCTCACACTATCACCACAATGAAACACGTCCTGAAGAATGTCATGCAAAGCTGCCTGCCTGCCTTCGATTCTCTCTGAACTGCCCGGTCGTTTTAATGTTTAATGTCAACCATTTGTGCAGATAGCATGAAGTAGAGAAGATCGCTAGCGTTAGCGTTAGCATTTCTCCCCCGGGCTTAAATTGTGTATTATAGAATGATCACACCGGTGACAGTACTATTCAAAGGGTTCACGAAATATGACTACTACTCTTACTGTTTAACATGTTGGGTTACTTCATGTTACTTCATGTTAAGGCTAATAAAAATGACACGGCTGTAATGCTAACTAACGTGCTAGCTACTAGCTAGCTTGATCCAGACACTCCTAGTACTTTCATCAGACGGGAACATAGACTGTATATATAAAGTCGGGAAGACGGGAAGCGAAAGAACGAGCAAGACCCATTGCTGGTATAATAACAACCTGGTACTAAGCACACAGGCATCTTGTTAAAGTTATCTTATCTTAGCGGAGGAAAACAATTGTGACATCACTTACGTGACTCTGGGATTTGTAGTCTTTCTAGTTACGTATTTTTCATAGTCTTATATTTCAACAGTTTTACGACAAACTGTGACTTTTTTGACATGGAAATTATTTTTTAAGATTGACAAACATCATATGTGTAATTCATGGCACAATTCAAACGGGATCGAAAGATAAGTTTTCTCTCCCCATTGACTTCAATGCATAATTTTCTCCGAAATAAGGTCCCATTACCCGGAAGTAAGTGGGCGTGACTTCGCCACTCTATAGTCTAGCTGCGGCCGCGGCAAGTACACGACACTACACGACACGCCCCCTACACGACACGCCCACCTGACACGACACTACGGTGGCTGAGAGACATTAGTGATCTCCAGTGTGCTGGGCAGTGTGGCGGCGGAGGGAGCCGAGGGCACCACCGGAGGAGAGGCGAGCGATGACAGCAGCATCACCGTGGTGCAGCTCCCCGCACAGACTGAGGGGACTTGTTACACGGAGCCCATCACCGGGGAAGCCTGCGGCGGGAGAAGGCGGTCTGCTCGGCCTGCCCTTGAGAAGGGTCTAGCTGCGGCCGCGGCCAGTACACGACACTACACGACACGCCCCCTACACGACACGCCCACCTGACACGACACTACGGTGGCTGAGAGACATTACCGTACATGGCAGATTAAAAGCGAATTGACGACACTGACGCTGACGCAAGGATATTTAAGGAGACATGAGGTTTACAGAGAACAGACAAACAATATGGCGCACCGAGTACAGGTAATTAACGTATTGTGGTTTTAGATATAATTACATACTATTTAGGTTCTCGTTTGTTTGTCGATGTGGCTGTTTAGCGCAGTGTAATTGTGTTTATTTTGCTAATTTGTATTTTAAATATTAAATGTAAAGGAATGGAATACATATATATATATATATATATATATATGTATATATCTTAGCTCTTAGCTTGACATGCTCGACGTTCAGTTAGCATATATGCTAACTAAACATGCTCGTTCAGTTAGCATATCAAGCTAAGAGCTAAGATATATGTATATATTTTAGCTTGACAGATGGAACAATGCATGTACTCGCATTTTTACAAGAATCTGATTTTGTGTAAGTTTTAAATATTCATTGAAGGTGTCTTTCACATTTGAATGTTTTAAAAAAACAAAACATGTATTAGCTGCTATACTGACATGCACATATGTATAATTACATTATTATTTTAAGTGTGGTTTAAAGTTAAATGATATATAGTTATTGGGTAGAGCCAAGTAACCCAGGTGGATGCAATCAGGCCTCTGTTTTTAGATGGGGTTTGTGGCCATGCTGTAGGCCTGACATTTAAACCATAGACTGTATATATAAAGATTTAAACTAGCTGAAGGGCTTTCTGTTAGAACCACAGTGACATCTAGAGGTTGTTTTGTGCATAACATGTCAACCAAAAGGGTAGAGCTGGCTGAATCAGATGGAGTTCAACTTTTTTTTTTTTCAACAAGATATCAAGACACAAAATGTGCTCTGGAACTTTGTTCTCATTACCTCACCAAGAACATGAGTGAGGAAGCGCACCAAAGGCTGAAGGACTCCAGTGAAAGATTCCGAAGAGCTTTGGATTCCGAGGAGTTTTTAAATAGGCTTTAACCTCCTGCAGGTCAATCCTGGCTGCTTACATTTTTATTTAAAATCATGTTGATTTTACTGTTGGGATCAATTTAAAAGGTTATTTTTTTTTTTTTAAGCAGACCAGCTTGAATAGTGCCCCTCTGATTTTCCACATGATGTTCTGTTCAATAAATGTTCATTGAGGTATCAGTGTCTTATTGTATATTCATCACAGTGAATGCAGTGAATGCTGAACGTGCCGGACCATATACTGTAGTTGAAAGTACACAATGAAACACTGGCTTGCTTGTATCAAATCAATACAATTCCCACATGCCCTACCCCGGAACCTGCGGTCTTCAGACTCTGGCCCCCCGCACCAACCTGCGATCCTTCGGGGACAGAGCCTTCAGTATGGCAGCCCCCACTCTCTGGAACGCTCTCCCTGCGGAGATCTGCAACATCCCCACGCTTGATGCCTTCAAAAGGGCCCTCAAGTCTGCCAAGGTCTTTGGCCCCAAATCTATTTGTTTTGTCTGTCTAATGGCGCATTTCCACTACAGCGCGGAGCTCGCTTTAAGCGTGCCGTGTCGTGCTGTGCCCGTTTTTGGTTGCGCTTCCACTAGGCCTAGTGACGGCCCGGCCCGGCCCGGGGCCACTTTTTCACCTCTTTTCTGGCCCGACAAAATTGTGGTTCTATCGGGGCCAACAAACAGGGCTGAGTCGGGCTGAGTATGCTAAACTAGAGAGAGGAGCGCTGGCAAGGGGGCTACAACTACAACAAGATGGACATA